AGCGTCCTACTTTACCGGTTATTCCCATTGACTTCATTTTGTGTGCTATCACTCCATGGTCACATTTATCGAAAGCCTTTGCGAAGTCCGTGGATATCACATCAGCATTCTGTTTTTCTTCTAATGCCTCAGTGACTTTGTCGTAGTGCTCAAGTAGCTGTGAGAGGCACGATCTTCCTGCTCATGTTGGCCTGGGTTGTGAAGGTCATTGGTCTCCATGAAATTGGTGACCTGACTCCTAATCACTCTCTCAAATACTTTTATGATGTGCGATGTTAGTGCAATTGGTCTATAATTCTTTGCCAATGCTTTGCTCCCTCCCTTGTGTAGAGGGGCTATGTCTGCTACTTTAAGTGCATCTGGTATCTCCCCCGTGTCCAAGCTCTTCCTCCACACTATACTGAGTGCCTGTGCTACCGGCACTTTGCATTTCTTTATAAAGATTGAATTCCATGAATCTGGACCCGGGGCCGAGTGCATGGGTATGTTTTCAATTTCTCTTTCAAAGTCTAGTGCGCTCGTGTTGATATCAGTTATATTTACAGTGGTTTGGATATCCCGTATAAAGAAATTGTCTGGATCTTCCACTTTCATGTTGTTTATTGGAATGCTAAACATGTCCTCATACTGCTTAGTGAAAACACTTTGCCTTATAGGCAAAGTGAAATTCACACCAGTTACTCCATCTATCATCTTTCTATCATGCGGGAAGAACCGCACGTCTATGGGTCATCCAATAAGGTTAGCAGACTTCTAGATGTTACCACTGCTAGGCTTAGGCTCGGCTACAAGTACCTCTGGCAGTTTGTAACATCTGATGATGTAGATCTGACTAAATGTAAACTCTGTCAGCAGAACTATTCCCATACTTTGCGTCATTATATAATGGAATAGGAAAAAATCGCGGAATTCAGAGATAACACCATCAATGGTGTCCAGGAAATGTGTAAGTACTTCATTCATAATGATGTGCTGCCCGAAATCTTAGCGAAGTATCCAAAGTTTGCTTACTGTAGGTAATGCATGCACATGACTGTAAAGCTGCCGCCCAGTTGGGTGGGTGTGGAGCACATGACTGTAAAGCTGCCGCCCATCTCGTTCCCGTTCATCCTGTTCACCCCGTTCTCTTGAGATTCATACCACTCCGTAAGAAATGTAACTTTTTTTCTCTAACCAAAAGCTTATAGAATCAAGCGTAGCCCACGTGAACCCGTCAAGCCCGTCACATAGACAGCCCGTCGCATAGACAGCCCGTCAGACAGCCCGTCACATAGACAGCCCCTCACATAGACAGCCCGTCACATAGACAGCCCCTCACATAGACAGCCCGTCACATAGGCAGCCCGGCTCATAGACAGCCCGTAACATAGACAGCCCGTCGCATAGACAGCCCGTCACATAGACAGCCCCTCACATAGACAGCCCGTCACATAGGCAGCCCGGCTCATAGACAGCCCGTCACATAGACAGGCCGTCACACAGACAGCCCGTCACATAGACAACCCGTCACATAGACACCCCGTCACATAGACAGCCCGTCACACAGACACCCCGTCACATAGCCCGTCACACAGACGCCCCGTCACATAGCCCGTCACATAGACAGCCCGTCACCACTGGTCCGTTCCGTACCAATTACGACGTGTCAGGTGGGGAGCCTGTCCTCTCCCTTAGCCCCATTAAACGTGACGGGTAAATGGTTCATGGCAAGTGAAGATGAGAAGAAGGGAGAAGGAAATGGGGAGAAGGAGGGGACGAAAGTGAGGTAGAAAAGGGGGGGGGGGTTTGAGGGGGGGGGGTTATGAGGGGGGGGAGGGGTAGTGAGGAGCCACCAGACTGCTGGTGTGAATACCAATAGATGGGTTGAACACGACCCCCCTTCCTTCAGACGAGGCTTCATGAACAAGGTATTGGTTTAGCAGCACTTAATTGGCAAACTATATATATATATATATATAATATATATATATATATATATATATACATTATATATATATATATATATATATATATATAATATATATATATATATATATATATATAATATCCTGGTCCGGGTTTTGTGTGGTTGACATATAGGAAAAAAATTATGGAAGCTGAATTTAGATCCGTTGAGACACTGGTGTTATGTGGCGTTCATTTGTGCTGGGGAAGGTGACGGAGGTGACGGAAGTGACGGAGGTGACGGGAGGAGTTGTTAGTGTGTGTGTGTGTGTGTGTACTCACCTAGTTGTGCTTGCGGGGGTTGAGCTCTGGCTCTTTGGTCCCGCCTCTCAACCGTCAATCAACAGGTGTACAGGTTCCTGAGCCTATTGGGCTCTATCATATCTACACTTGAAACTGTGTATGGAGTCAGCCTCCACCACATCACTTCCTAATGCATTCCATTTGTCAACCACTCTGACACTAAAAAAGTTCTTTCTAATATCTCTGTGACTCATTTGGGCACTCAGTTTCCACCTGTGTCCCCTTGTGCGTGTTCCCCTTGTGTTAAATAGACTGTCTTTATCTACCCTATCAATTCCCTTCAGAATTTTGAATGTGGTAATCATGTCCCCCCTAACTCTTCTGTCTTCCAGCGAAGTGAGGTTTAATTCCCGTAGTCTCTCCTCGTAGCTCATACCTCTCAGCTCGGGTACTAGTCTGGTGGCAAACCTTTGAACCTTTTCCAGATTAGTCTTATCCTTGACTAGATATGGACTCCATGCTGGAGCCGCATACTCCAGGATTGGCCTGACATATGTGGTATACAAAGTTCTGAATGATTCTTTACACAAGTTTCTGAATGCCGTTCGTATGTTGGCCAGTTCGTATATGTGTGTGTGTGTGTGTGTGTGTGTGTGTGTGTGTGTGTGTGTGTGTGTGTATACACACCTAGTTGGTCACATACAGACATAACAGATATTGTGCACACACAATGATCACCCATATAACTAGTGACTAGAAGGTTGAAGGTCCTGTATAGCACTGTATGCACCCCCCCCCCCCGCCCCTGGCCAGAGGGAGAACTGCCCGTCAGCCGAAAGACTCCCAGTGTGTTAACAACTCAACTATTAAAGAAAGGGATAGACAGGAGCCAAGAAAGTACCCCCGACATGAATACCCTGATGAATACTTGAAGGAATAGTGAGGATTCTACACCCCTCCCATGGCACTCCCACATCCTCCCAGGCTCTTCCACACCCTCCCAGGCTATTCCACACCCTCCCAGGCTCTTCCACACCCTCCCAGGCTCTCCCACACCCTCTCAGGCTCTCCCACACCCTCCCAGGCTCTCCCACACCCTCCCAGGGCTCTCCCACACCCTCCCAGGCTCTCACACACCCTCCCAGGCTCTCCCACACCCTCCCAGGCTCTCCCACACCCTCCCAGGGCACTCCCACGCCCTTCCAGGGCACTCCCACACCCTCCCAGGGCTCTCCCACACCCTCCCAGGGCTCTCCCACACCCTCCCAGGCTCTCCCACACCTCCCAGGGCTCTCCCACACTCTCCAGGGCTCTCCCACACCCTCCCAGGCTCTCCCACACCCTCCCAGGCTCTCCCACACCCTCCCAGGGCTCTCCCACACCCTCCCAGGGCTCTCCCACAGCCTCCCAGGCTCTCCCACTCCCTCCCAGGGCACTCCCACACCCTTCCAGGGCACTCCCACACCCTCCCAGGGCTCTCCACACCCTCCCAGGGCTCTCCCACACCCTCCCAGGGCTCTCCCACACCCTCCCAGGGCTCTCCCACACCCTCCCAGGCTCTCCCACACCCTCCCAGGGCTCTCCCACACTCTCCCAGGGCTCTCCCACACCCTCCCAGGCTCTCCCACACCCTCCCAGGCCTCTCCCACACCCTCCCAGGGCTCTCCCACACCCTCCCAGGGCTCTCCCACACCCTCCCAGGGCTCTCCCACACCCTCCCAGGGCTCTCCCACACCCTCCCAGAGCTCTCCCACACCCTCCCAGGCTCTCCCACACCTTCCCAGGCTCTCCCAGGCTCTCCCACACCCTCCCAGGGCTCTCACACACCCTCCCAGGGCTCTCCCACACCCTCCCAGGCTCTTCCACACCCTACCAGGCTCTCCCACACCCTCCCAGGGCTCTCCCACACCCTCCCAGGCTCTCCCACACCCTCCAGGGCTCTCCCACACCCTCCCAGGCTCTCCCACACCCTCCCATGGCTCTCCCACACCCTCCCAGGGCTCTCCCACCCCCTCCCAGGGCTCTCCCACACCCTCCCAGGCTCTCCCACACCCTCCCAGGGCTCTCCCACACCCTCCCAGGCCTCTCCCACACCCTCCCAGACTCCCACACCCTCCCAGGCCTCTCCCACACCCTCCCAGGGCTCTCCCACACCCTCCCAGGGCTCTCCCACACCCTCCCAGGGCTCTCACACACTCTCCCATGCTCTCCCACACCCTCCCAGGGCTCTCCCACACCCTCCCATGCTCTCCCACACCCTCCCATGCTCTCCCACACCCTCCCAGGGCTCTCCCACACCCTCCCATGCTCTCCCACACCCTCCCAGGGCTCTCCCACACTCTCCCAGGCTCTCCCACACCCTCCCAGGGCTCTCCCACACCCTCCCAGGGCTCTCCCACACCCTCCCAGACTCCCACACCCTCCCAGGCCTCTCCCACACCCTCCCAGGGCTCTCCCACACCCTCCCAGGGCTCTCCCACACCCTCCCAGGCCTCTCCCACACCCCCCAGACTCCCACACTCTCCCAGGCCTCTCCCACACCCTCCCAGGGCTCTCCCACACCCTCCCAGGCTCTCCCACACCCTCCCAGGCTCTCCCACACCCTCCCAGGCCTCTCCCACACCCTCCCAGGGCTCTCCCACACCCTCCCAGGGCTCTCCCACACCCTCCCAGGCCTCTCCCACACCCTCCCAGGGCTCTCCCACACCCTCCCAGGGCTCTCCCACACCCTCCCAGGGCTCTCCCATACCCTCCCAGGGCACCGAGGACTGGGAGAGTAGCGGGGGGTCGGGCGGCTACGGTACTCCGTGGTATCAGACTTGCAGATGAGGCGGAGGTGTGAGGCCCCTTGGTGTTTGTGGGGCCCCCGGCGGTGTGGGCCCCCCGGCGGTGTGGGCCCCCCGGCGCTGTGGGCCCCCGGCGCTGTGGAGTCCCCGGGCGCTGTGGAGTCCCCGGGCGCTGTGGAGTCCCCGGGCGCTGTGGAGTCCCCGGGCGCTGTGGGGCCCCCGGCGCTGTGGGCCCCCAGCGCTGTGGTGCCCCCGGCGCTGTGGTGCCCCCGGCGCTGTGGGGCCCCCGGCGCTGTGGGGCACCCGGCGCTGTGGGCCCCCGGCGCTGTGGGTTTCACAGACATGCTGTAGTCAAACAACACACCGACAGGTGTTGGCGCACACAGACAGGTGTTGGAAGACACAGACAGGTGTTGGCAGACACAGACAGGTGTTGGCAGACACAGACAGGTGTTGGCAGACAAGGACAGGTGTTGGCAGACACAGACAGGTGTTGGCAGAGAAGGACAGGTGTTGGCAGACACAGACAGGTGTTGGCAGACAAGGACAGGTGTTGACAGACACAGACAGGTGTTGGCAGACAAGGACAGGTGTTGGCAGACACAGACAGGTGTTGGCAGACAAGGACAGGTGTTGGCAGACACAGACAAGTGTTGGCAGACACATACAGGTGTTGGCAAACACAGACAGGTGTTGGAAGACACAGACAGGTGTTGGCAGACGCAGACAGGTGTTGACAGACAAGGACAGGTGTTGGCAGACACAGACAGGTGTTGGCAGACAAGGACAGGTGTTGGCAGACACAGACAGGTGTTGGCAGACAAGGACAGGTGTTGGCAGACACAGACAGGTGTTGGCAGACAAGGACAGGTGTTGGCAGACACAGACAGGTGTTGGCAGACAGGTAGGGAGGCTGCACGAGAAGCAGCAGTAAACAGGGAACACAACAAGAGCCCCAGAGCTGAAGCACAACATCACGGAGAAGGTTAGGAGCGCCATCTGGTGTTCTCTTGGTCCACTTGTCCCATCAGGTATCGTCGGAGCCCATCAGGTATCGTCCTGGACCATCAGGTATCGTCCTAGACCATCAGGTATCGTCCTGGACCATCAGGTATCGTCCTAGACCATCAGGTATCGTCGTAGCCTATCAGGTATCGTTTAGCCCATCAGGTATCGTGTTAGATTATCATGTATCGTTTAGTCCATCAGGTATCGTTTAGCCCATCTGGTATCGTCCTAGACCATCAGGTATCGTCATAGACCATCAGGTATCGTCGTAGACCATCAGGTATCGTCGTAGACCATCAAGTATCGTCGTAGACCATCAGGTATCGTCGTAACCCTTCAGGTATCGTCGTAGCACATCAGGTATCATCGTAGCCCATCAGGTATCGTCCTAGACCATCAGGTATCGTCGTAGCCCATCAGGTATCGTCATAGACCATCAGGTATCGTCCTGGACCATCAGGTATCGTCATAGACCATCAGGTATCGTCATAGACCATCAAGTGTCGTCCTAGACCATCAGGTATCGTCCTGGACCATCAGGTATCGTCCTGGACCATCAGGTATCGTCCTGGACCATCAGTTATCGTCCTAGACCATCAGGAATCGTCATAGACCATCAGGTATCGTCCTAGACCATCAGGTATCGTCCTAGACCATCAGGTATCGTCCTAGACCATCAGGTATCGTCCTAGACCATCAGGTATCGTCCAAGACCAGGAGAAAACAGTCAATATTTTGACAATAACATTGACGCTGATTTTTTGCTTGTTTGGGCGGCCAGTTCGCGCAAAAACACTCATCATTTTGTTTGTTTGTTTGTTTGTGGGTGTTTGTTGACACCGTGAGGAGGGGGGGAGTCTCTCCGCCCTCTCCTTCCCTCCCCCTAGCTTGATTCTGCCCCCCCTTCCCCCCCTCTCTCGTCTGTCATTCTTACTGTCACCTTCCCTTTCATTACCTCCCCCCCCCCTACCGCTGTCAGGCCACAACAATTGTCACTGCCACCACTGCTGTCATCAACACCTCCGTCAGCAGCAGCAGCAGCGGCAGCAGCAGCAGCAGCAGCAGCAGCAGCGGCAGCAGCAGCAGCAGCAGCAGCAGCGGCAGCAGCAGCAGCAGCAGCAGCAGCGGCAGCAGCAGCAGCGTCAAGAGCAGCAGCTCCTGGCGCGGGTCTCAGTATTGACAGGAGGAGCGGGACAAAACCAATATTGGTAGTGTGTGTGACTGATCTGGACGGCAGGTGTAGGTGGGGGGGTGGTGTAGGTGGAGGGTTGTAGGTGGTGGGGGGGGGTGTTTGTAGGTGGGGTGTAGGTGGGAATGGTGGTGGTGTTGACGGTTGGTGGAAGAAAATTTAAACTTTTACCCCATAAATGAAAGGGAAATTACAACTCAAGTCGATAACACAGCTGCAGCACTACTCCCGACGCGAACAATAGACCTTAACAACATACGCGATGACTGCCACCTTATGAAACACATAACCATTGCGGAGGTCCACAAAACAATAATGGGTTTCAAGAACAAGGCGCCGGGCAACTGCAAGATAAATAAGATGGTATTATCCAACCTACCAGTGATTGCACTCCAGCAATACACATGTATAATAAATGCAGCTCTTGCATCTGGACTATTCCCCACATACTTCAAGAATGCCACAATAAGATTAATCCCCAAGCCAGGTAAACCCCCAACCCAAACTGAAAACTGCAAGCCAATTTCCCTCCTCGAAGTACCAGGTAAAATATTCGAAAAATTATCAATCAGAGACTTGTGAAGTACATGGAAGAGGAAGGGAAGTATAACACCAGGCAGCATGGGTTTAGAAACCGCAGAGGGGCCCATACAGCTATAGCCCTGATCTACGAGCATATAGCCAACGCAGTGTCGAAAAAAAGATCAGTGTAATATAGTGCTTAGAGACGTTTCGAAAGCCTTCGACAAAGTGTGGCACACAGGCCTAAAAAATAAGATATCTGAACTAGGACTTCCTGAGAGATTTACTGCTACTCTCTGCAGCTTTATAGACAACAGAACTGCTAGGCTTAATATCGGCAGCTACTTGGGTGACGTAATAGAACTGAAAAGTGGAGTACCACAAGGAAGCTGCCTCTCCCCCACTCTATTCAACATATATACAGCTGACCTACCCCAACCCCAACATGGAGAATACATCACATACGCTGACGATGTCACCCAAATAATATGCCAACCGGGACCATCAAAGCCGCTACTAGCCGACAAGACCAAGGCAGCAATTGAACTCATAAACAACTTTGAGAAGCAATGGAAAATTAGCACAAACAAACAAAAGTTCCAGATAATACACATTGCGAAAAGAAACCCAGACCCCATTATCCTTGACAACCGCCCGATCCAATATGCGGAGGTAGGCAGAATACTGGGACTTATGATCAATAGAACAGGGATACAAATTCACGTAAGGGACCGACTAAACAAAGCCAAAGCAGCCTTAGGAAAACTGAGGAGATTCCGAAGCCTCAGTACAAACATTCAGATCCACCTATATAAGGCTCTAGTTCGGCCGCATCTAGAGTATCCCCCAGTACCACTACACACCTTAAAGAAAACTAACATGCAGAAACTGCAAGCAGTGCAAAATAAGGCGCTAAGGAGAGCAGCAAAACACCGTCCACCATATGATCAGACAATCCAGGAGCTCCATGAACTCCTGAACATACAGCCACTAAACATCAGACTGCAGCACCAAGCCATCAGGGTGTGGAACACCATCGAAATGTTAGAGGACCCAATGTTAGAAAGATTACTCCAAGATGAGACGCCCCGCTCCCACAGCTGGTGGCCCAAGAGCCTCGATTTACTAGATGAAAACCCCGCCCCACAGTACATAATTCCCAGATGAAATACTGACCAGAAATCCCCCAATAATTGGAAAAGCAAACAAAGTATATATATATATATATATATATATATATATATATATATATATATATATATATATATATATATATATATATATATATATGTATATGAATGTATAAATAAATATATATAATAAATAATAATAATAATAATAATAATAATAATAATACAATAAATAGCCTTAAACAGAACAACATGTGTGGAAGCATCGGAGTGTGTATATATGAATGCTACACAGTATTCATCTATAGACATCCATATATGGTGAAACACATGTGAAGAACCTCTCACACACTCACAGCTCCCTGACAAGAGAGAGCCAGCTTAGCTTAGCTGCCAACACCCACACATGGTGTCAGCAAGGCGGACAGCCCGCCTGCTTTCATACCTCTCACTGTATTTCCCACTTCTAAACTTCCCTTCACTCTCTCTCTCTCTCTCTCTCTCTCACTGTCTCTCTCTCTCTCACTGTCTCTCTGTCTCTCCCCCTCCCTCTCTCTCTCTCTCTCTCTCTCTCTCTCTCTCTCTCTCTCTCTCTCTCTCTCTCTCTCTCTCTCTCTCTCTCTCTCTCTCTCCCCCCTCCCTCTCCCTCCCTCCGAGCCTTAACTACTACCCTCATTAAAAAGAGCCTTGTCTCAGGAGTCAAACAACTACTTACAAAGCCGTAATTCAACGCATTCGAAGATGTATGGCCGCCCTCCCCAGAGGGTCCCTTTAGCGCGCCTCTGCGTTCCGATCTCCTCCTCCAGGCTTCGTCTAGACAAGAAGCATAAACAAGTCGTTTGCGGTCGTCGGGGACAGGCGTTCGGACGTCTGGGGGGATGAATTATTTAGTGTTTGTAATTAGCTATAAATTACCCGGTGTCTGTGTTTGTAAGGCTTGACGCTTTAATAGAGGAGTTATACGTTATTTGTGTGTGGGGGTTGTGTGTGCTTGTGTAGGGGGGGTGTGGGGAAGGTTGGGGGGGGGGGGGTGGAGGGGGGTTTGGAGGGGGTTTGGGGGGTGGAGGTGGGGTGAGTGGGTATCCCGAGTGGTACTGAGGTTCCTGGTGGAGGTTCCTGGTGGAGGTTCCTGTTGGGGGTTCCTGGTGGGGGTTCCTGTTGGAGGTTCCTGGTGGAGGTTCCTGTTGGGGGTTCCTGGTAGAGGTTCCTGGTGGGGGGTTCCTGGTGGAGGTTCCTGGTGGAGGTTCCTGTTGGGGGTTCCTGGTGGAGGTTCCTGTTGGAGGTTCCTGTTGGAGGTTCCTGGTGGAGGTTCCTGTTGGAGGTTCTTGTTGGAGGTTCCTATTGGAGGTTCCTGTTGGAGGTTCCTGGTGGAGGTTCCTGGTGGAGGTTCCTGTTGGAGGTTCCTGGTGGAGGTTCCTGGTGGAGGTTCCTGGTGGAGGTTCCTGGTGGAGGTTCCTGGTGGAGGTTCCTGGTGGAGGTTCCTGGTGGAGGTTCCTGTTGGAGGTTCCTGGTGGAGGTTCCTGTTGGAGGTTCCTGGTGGAGGTTCCTGTTGGAGGTTCCTGGTGGAGGTTCCTGTTGGAGGTTCCTATTGGAGGTTCCTGGTGGAGGTTCCTGGTGGAGGTTCCTGGTGGAGGTTCCTGGTGGAGGTTCCTGTTGGAGGTTCCTGTTGGAGGTTCCTGGTGGAGGTTCCTGGTGGAGGTTCCTGGTGGAGGTTCCTGTTGGAGGTTCCTGTTGGAGGTTCCTGTGGGGGTTCCTGTTGGAGGTTCCTGGTGGAGGTTCCTGGTGGAGGTTCCTGGTGGAGGTTCCTGGTGGAGGTTCCTGTTGGAGGTTCCTGGTGGAGGTTCCTGGTGGAGGTTCCTGTTGGAGGTTCCTGGTGGAGGTTCCTGGTGGAGGTTCCTGTTGGAGGTTCCTGGTGGAGGTTCCTGGTGGAGGTTCCTGTTGGAGGTTCCTGTGGGGGTTCCTGTTGGAGGTTCCTGGTGGAGGTTCCTGTTGGAGGTTCCTGGTGGAGGTTCCTGTTGGAGGTTCCTGGTGGAGGTTCCTGTTGGAGGTTCCTGTTGGAGGTTCCAGTCTTCTCCAGCGGTTGTTGAACAAGATAATACCATTATCAGTAGTGGTGGAGGTAGCACTAGAGGCTTAGTTAATGAGCGTTATCAGTACAAATTAATGATGACTCGATAATTCACGTCTCTTTTTCCCTTTATTAAAACTTCCTTCACTTGTTTGATTAGGGCATTATAGAGCTATAGCAAGAGAGCCTTCAGATTGTCTGACTCTATATGCGTCTTGATAAGTTTCCGTTCTCAAAATATATGTATAAGATAGTCTGTACTTCATACACTCATATAGTTGACATTGTATAAAGGTTCAAGGTTGAAAAATTTAATTATTTCTAATGCATTTTGGACTTCCGGGTGACTGGGGGATCGTTCTGGGGGCTTTTGGCAATATTTGTGTTCGTCTTATTGGCTGAAACGCGCGAGTCTGGTGACGTAGAAGGGGTTTCCAGCCACCTGATTGGTGGTTAAACGATGACAACAAGTAATGCCATATATCGTCTACTATTCGTCAGTGAGCAAAATGTATTTGGTAATATATATATATATATATATGTCGTACCTAATAGCCAGAACGCACTTCTCAGCCTACTATTCAAGGCCCGATTTGCCTAATAAGCCAAGTTTTCATGAATTAATGTTTTTTCGTCTACCTAACCTACCTAACCTAACCTAACCTAGCTTTTTTTGGCTACCTAACCTAACCTTACCTATAAATATAGGTTAGGTTAGGTTAGGTAGGGTTGGTTAGGTTCGGTCATATATCTACGTTAATTTTAACTCCAATAAAAAAAAATTGACCTCATACATAGAGAAAAGGGTTGCTTTATCATTTCATAAGAAAAAAATTATAGTAAATATATTAATTCAGGAAAACTTGGCTATTAGGCAAATCGGGCCTTGAATAGTAGGCTGAGAAGTGAGTTCTGGCTACTAGGTACGACAATATTATATATATATAATATATATATTATATATATATATATATATATATATATATATATATATATATATATATTATAGGTAAAAGGAATTTTTAAAATACAAAATATTTTATGTAAAATCATTTACGGATTTTCCTTCAATTTGTAATTAATTATTAGTATTATGAATGTTATTTGCAGGTAATAAACAGCTTCCGCTGTCGTAAAGCTTTGATATCGAAGAAAATTTCAGTTGTCTCATTCGTTGTATTCTTGGTCTTGTATTTTGGGTTTTTGTAACTGTTTCCGCGGGTGTGTACAGGAGCGGTCGTCATCCTGGCAGGTGTGTACAGGAGCGGTCGTCATCCTGGCAGGTGTGTACAGGAGCGGTCGTCATCCTGGCAGGTGTGTACAGGAGCGGTCGTCATCCTGGCAGGTGTGTACAGGACCAGACGTCATCCTGGCAGGTGTGTACAGGACCAGACGTCACCCTGGCAGGTGTGTACAGGACCAGACGTCATCCTGGCAGGTGTGTACAGGACCAGACGTCATCCTGGCAGGTGTGTACAGGAGTTGTCGTCTTTCTGACAGGCTGAGTTTTTCCCCTCTCAGCCTGCTGACAGGCTGAGACGCTAGTCGGGCAGTTACCAGGTTCCCAACACACACACACACACACACACACACACACACACACACACACACACACACACACACACACACACACACACACACACACACACACACACACACACACACCGGGAAGCAGCCCGTAGCAGCTGTCTAACTCCCAGGTACCTATAGCATTTACTGCTAGGTGAACAGCCTCATCAGGGGAAAGGAAACTTGCCCATTTGTTACTGCCTCGGCCGGGACTCGAACCCGGGCCCTTAGGACTACGACCCCCCGAGCGCTGATATATAACCAAATGCTTCAATTCTCACAAACACTCAGAATTGATAACATTTTGTAGATTGACCTTTTTCCTTAGTACAGTGAAGGGGGGGGGGGGGGGGAAGGGGGGGCGTGCTCGACCCCCCCCCCAGGCAGACTAATTAACTGACCATAAATATCAACAATTGGGCATTTTGGATTAATTGCAGTGTCATTGGTGGGCATTATCGAAGCACGCGGTGGGGGGGAGGAGGAGGAGGAGGGGGGGGGGGGTGGGAGGGGAGCTGGGGATGTGGGGGAGAGGGAAAGGGAAGAGGGGGGGGGGAAGTTTGGAGGGGGGGATATGGTGGAGGGACGAGGCCGAGGGGGGGAGTAGGAGTAGGGGGGGGTGGGGGGAGGGTAGAGGTAGAGGGAAGGAAGGAAGGGAGGAGGTAGAGAGAAAGGAGCGGAGACATGAGTTTAGAAGTGAGAGGCAGGAAGGGTGAGGAGAGAGAAGAGAGAGAGAGAGAGAGAGAGAGGGACGAGAGGAGAGGAGAGAGAGAGAGAGAGGAGAGAGACGAGAGAGAGAGAGAGAGAGGATGAGAGAGAGAGAGAGAGAGAGAGAGAGAGAGAGAGAGGAGAGAGAGAGAGGGGGGGGGGGCGGGTGGAAAGGGCTGAATATCAAGAAAGTAAAGAAAACAGATGAATAAAAAGAGACAGGTAAGAGAATAGGGAAGGGGAAGAGAAGGGGGCAGTTGCTGAGTAGGGGGGGGGCAGAGGGGGGGGACCATAAGAGGTGACGATCGATTAATGATTGAAAATAGGGGGGGGTGAGGGCAGAAGGGGGGGGTATTGGAGATAGGAAGGGATGAAGGGTTTCTGGTATGGGGAGGGGGAGAGACAAGAGGTCAGAGATTGATTGATTGATTGATTGATTGATTGATTGATTGATTGATTGATGGAGTTTAAGCCACCCAAGAGGTGGCACGGGCATGAATAGCCCGAAAGTGGTGGATTTCCTTTTGAGTGAATGTGATCTTTGGTCGTGAAAGAATATACTGCGTGCTGTGCTTGCATTTAAATCGTCAGTCCTTACTATGTGGCGGCTGTCGCGGGGGAGGGTACTGGTTGACAGTCTTGATGAGGGTCTCCAGCTGCTGGACACTTTTCATTACCAGAAGAGTGGCAGTGTTGACGGCTTCAGGGTGGTTACTGCAAGATTCAGGGACTCTTAAAGCTCTTCTAAGGTCTTTGGTTGCTTCACATTCCAGAAGATAGTGAGGTAGAGGCTTTTCTGTGACAGTTTGGCAGAAGATGCACTCTCTCTGTCGGGGTTCACCAATCTCCCAGTTGCATCTGTAACCTAGACGTAGTCTATATAACCTAACTGCTATTTCCCTGTGGATTCCTTTTGGGATATTTAACCTTTCTAACTTGGTGGCCTGAAGATACCATATTGTAGAGGGAGAACCTTCAGCTATTCTCTGGTGCAGGTCGGCTGTGTTGAGGTGTGAGAGTTTTTTGGTGATGATGTTTTTTATGTTCCTTATGCTGGGTTGAATAGTTTTGTGGATCACTTAATGACGAGTTGCCAATTTAGCAGTTTCTTCGGCTTTCTCATTTAATGGGATTCCAATATGGGATGGGATCCAGTTTAGGGGTGATGTTGAGTCCTTTGGCTTTAGCGACTGCTCCAAGATACAAAATGGTGGTAATTATTTCCACGTTATCTTTCCACTGTTTGTTTCCTAATAATTTGAAGTGCAGCTTTTGAGTCTGTGTGTATGATTGTTTTGTGCAATCACATATGTGAATGCCTGTTGTATGGCAAACAGCTCAGTTTGGGTTGATGATACTAGTCCTCCCAGTCTCCTGTATGCCTGTAGATCCACCCACACACCCACCCACACCGGCCGTGCAAAGATAGGAGGGGGGGGGGGGTGAGAGGCATGAGAGAGGGGAAGAGATAAAAAAGGCTGATATGGTCAGGGGGAAAGGATAGGAATGGATAGAGGAGAGGTGAGAGGGGGGGGGGAGAAGGGGTGAGAAGGAATGTGGCTTGCCTATTCTCATATGTCGCATCTGTCATGACAAGTTCCTGTCATGCTCTCTCTCTCTCTTCCCACTGTCATGTCATATAAAAAAAATCATTGATTTTTTTTTGTACAGAATATTTAGCCAGGCGTAGGCGGCGGCCAGTGCCAAAAATGTTCGTGGAGATCAGTATGTCATCGTGGCACGCTGATCCCTCTTGTATTTTGGCGACTCCCGATCAGCCTATGTTCGTCCCGTACCCCAGACCATTCACTCTGCAAATTTGGGTGAGACAAGCCCCAAGCATCTGACCTTCAACCTTGGACAGACGAATATTCTCACTATATGTATATGAGACAATGTCAGTATGGCCAAGACCAACTCTTTACACACCCACCCACACCTGCCACACACCCACCCACACCTGCCACACACCCACTCACACCTGCCACACACCCACCCACACCTGCCACACACCCACCCACACCTGCCACACACCCACCCACACCTGCCTCACACCCACCCACACCTGCCTCACACCCACCCACACCTGCCACACACCCACTCACACCTGCCACACACCCACCCACACCTGCCACACACCCACCCACACCTGCCACACACCCACCCACACCTGCCACACACCCACCCACACCTGCCACACACCCACCCACACCTGCCACACACCTGCCACACACCCACTCACACCTGCCACACACCCACTCACACCTGCCACACCCACCCACACCTGCCACACACCCACCCACACCTGCCACACACCCACCCACACCTGCCACACACCCACCCACACCTGCCACACACCCACTCACACCTGCCACACACCCACCCACACCTGCCACACACCCACCCACACCTGCCACACACCCACCCACACCTGCCACACACCCACCCACACCTGCTACACACCCACCCACACCTTCCACACACCCACCCACACCTGCCACACACCCACCCACACCTGCCACACACCCACCCACACCTGCCACACACCCACTCACACCTGCCACACACCCACTCACACCTGTCACACACCCACCCACACCTGCCACACACCCACTCACACCTGCCACACACCCACTCACACCTGCCACACACCCACCCACACCTGCCACACACCCACTCACACCTGCCACACACCCACCTACACCTGCCACACACCCACCCACACCTGCCACACACCCACTCACACCTGCCACACAC